GGTATATATACCTATATATATATGGCTAAACATTGAATAATTGATGCTTTCAAACTGTGGTGCTGGAGGAGACTCTTGAGAGTGCCTTGGACTGCAAGGAGATCAAACCGGTCAGTCCTAAAGGAAATCAAATGTGAATATTCATCAGTAGTGATGCTAAAGCTGAAGTTGTAGTACTTTGGCCACCTGATGTGAAGAACAGACTGATTGGAAAAGACCCTGATGCTCAGAAAGACTGAAGGCAAAAGGAGAAGAGGGCAGCAGAGGATGAGATGGTTGGATAACATCACCAATTCAATGGACATGAGCCTGAGCAAACTTCGGGAGATAATGGAGGAACGGGAAGCCTGATGTGCTGCAGTTCATGGGATCACAAAGAGTTGGAAACAAATTGGTGACTGAATAACAGCATATGTGTGTGTGTGTGTATATATATATATATATATATATATGTATGCATATAAAACAAGAAAAAACAAATAAAATTCACTTGTAAGCCTATCCCAAGAGATAACTTCTTTTTAAATATTTCAATATATATTCTATATACTGTTTTGTAGCCTGCTTTTTGCTCTTAACTGTCCTTTTTGTTGTGCCAATTAAACTGGGTAAATACATTGTCAGAAAAAAATACACTAATAGGATTTTATCTCCCAAAAATAATCAGAGATGAACATGATATTTTACAGAATAATTTATATTAGTAAAAAATTGGAGACGATCTTGAAATATATCAAAAGATCAATTAAATGATATGTGAGTGGAATACTTTGGTAAATGTAGTTACTGGCAAGGCAAGTTACATATACTATATCATAAAGTGAAAAAAGCGCAGACACCTCCTCCTCTCTGCACCTATTCCTTCTCTAGTCAATGGAGCTGTGACAGAGGTGTCCCTATGGTCCCTCCCAGTTGCAATTTCCCAAGCTCATTTCTTGTAGTTTTCAGCGTGAGTTCCTAAAAAAAGAAAGAAAGAAAAAGGCAGCTGAAGAGACTGAAAGATGGGCGACCTGTCTGAACATCCCTGCTGCCCAGGTGGGCACTGAAGCAGCCTCAGGCTCCATCCAGGTCAAGAGGAAGCCGGGGACAGGAGGCTACTTGGGATTTCTCTTGATGCTGGGGCTGGGAGGGTGCCCAGCTGGACCAGAATGGAAGGCTCTGGGCAGTAACAGGGCGGCAGGAGGCGCTGCGAGAGCGCGAGGAGCAGGATGCAGGGTGGCCTCAGGGCGGCAGCAGGCACAGCGTCGTACCACCTGGAAGCACAGCCCGGGACGGGCTGGGGCGCAGAGCGCCCTCGGGATGGCAGGGGGCGCTGCAGAATCGTGGCCTATTCCCGGCGGCGGCAAGTCCCCCGGCCGCTGGGGAAATACACCTGGGCAGGTGGGGGGCGGGGCCCGATGGGGGCGGGGCTCCAGGGGGCGGGGCCCAGCCCACAAGAGCTTGGCGCCTGGGCCTGCGGGATGCTCTCGCTCTAAGAGGAGCGGAACAGAGCGTACTCGGATCGCGCGCACGCTAACCGCAGACACTTCCGAACCGTAAGGTGAGCCCGGCGGAGTTGGGTCGGGAGTTTCAGACACCGGAGAGGCCGCGGTGAGCTTCCGGACACTGTCCGGGCGGTAGACGCCGCGTGGGCATCATCAGCCCGGGGCTGCCTTCGGGTACCTGGGATGCTCGGACTCCTTCCCAAATAAATCCATTCGGTCTAGCGCTCTGCTGTCTGCCCACGCGGTGGCCGGGGAGGCAGAGCTAGAGCCGGAGGCGTTTCTGATTTATTCAGAAACTGGGTCCAGGGGTTCGGGGCTGCGCCCCGCCCAGTCTCTCCACCCAGCACTTGCTCATTCCTTTCCTGGCCTCAGTGAGACGCGTGGACCTGACCGCGGTCTTTCCTTTCCCCCTCTGGAATGTTTTCTTTAGGGTGACTGTGGTTGCAGAAAACAGCAAACACTTGAAGCGAGTTGGTTGGGTTCTCTCCTGCGGCTTCAGCCCTGGCTGCCCCGAAGCAGACGTGGCTTCGGTCACAGCACCGGGTCCCTCTATGCGGGGAGGGCAGGGGCTGCAGAATCGCCCGTGAGGAGCGCGGATCTGGCGCCCAGAGCCCGAGGTTCGGGTTCCATCACTGAGATTTGGGGGACAGTCGAGGTCGGGAATGGGCGAGAGGGGTGCAGAAGAGAATCATGAGGGAACCCGGAATTCCAGAGAATTATTTTAATCCCTCCTACCTGTGTGGCCCTGGACAAGTTGCCTAAGCTCTGCCCTTGAGTTTTCTTCTCTGTGCCTGCTCTTGCTCAGTAGGGTCTGACTCTTTGTGACCTGCCAGGCTCCTCTGTCCGTGGGATTTCCCAGGCAAGAATACTGGAGTGGGTTTCCATTTCCTCCTCAGTGAGGATTAAATAAGGTAATGTGTGAAAAGAATATGAGCAGGAAGCTTGAGAGTAAAGGATCAATAAATGAAAGCTGGTATTACTTTTCTTGTTCTTGCTGCCGTTGCTGTTGTTATTATTGTTTGGGGAGTCGTTTGTAGTTCAAGGCTCCTGGTTTCAGTTCCAACTCCACCATTTTCTAGTGTGACCTTGGGCAAGTTGCTTAAGCACTTGGTGTCTGTTTCATTTGTATCATGGAGAAAATTGTGGTGCCTGTTGCCGAAAATAGTTGTAGAAATTAAATGAGCTAATACTTGTAAAGTGCTTAGAAGAATGAGTGCTGGATGTCAGTTACTAACTCTACCACAAGGGCATCATGTTTAATCAAGCAATATAACCTAAATGTAGCTACAACCTTGCTTTGTAGCAAACCCTACTTTGCTCAGAAGTTGAAATATTATTTGTGTGAAGATGTATCTGTTTTATGATGAGCAAGGTGGGTTCCCTTCTTTCACCTGCAGTTTCACTGACATTGGTGGCTGACCCACTGGAGTCAAAGCAGTTCTGGGGGAGGGGCTGGTGGGGTAGAGGGACCCTAGGAGTTGTCTTCAGTGAGAAGACAAAAAGTTTTGATGACAGAAACTTCCAGAATCACAGTTTCTGTGGAACATTCACAGAGGGGAAAATCTTCTCTGGGTTGCAGTTTTATTTGATACAAAATTGTACCTGGACCTAGGTTTCTAAAACAAACTCTTGCAAATTTTTGCTTTTGGATTGTAGGCAGAGAGGAGGTGGGGATGGACAATATTTAAAATGATAAAATACAATAAATCACTTTCCTCTTGCCAAGAGGTTTATAGCATGATTTTGAAGGTCGGAGATCACAGCAAGATCATATACATCCCTGAAGGCTTAGAGTGGCTGGCTGCCTCTGGATGTCTTATCTCCCCTGCAACATTTTGTATCCTTGCTGTCATAAACCTGAAACTCACTAACACCATAAACTTGAAGGCCTCCCAGCTTGGTCCAAGCTCCCGATTTTGGACAAATATCCCATGGGTCTGGGGTAGAGAAAAAATGAGTGCTCAAGTCCAGAATCCTGAAGAACAAGATGGGGTAAACTATAGTCTTTGTCCCAGGTCCAAGCCTTCTGGCAGGGTGGGGGACATGGGGATTACACTGTATGTCCTACTCCAAATTATAGTATACCCTAATTTGTCTCTGTCACCTATGGTAGGCACAGGAGACAAGAGTTTCCATATACCCCTCTCCAATGCCAGTGTTTACTAATACCAGTGTTAGGAAGCAATTGCACTAACTACTCAGAATTTAAAAAGTAAATAACTCAGGATCCCATCTTCAGTTCCAGAACTGTTAATTAACTCATGAGGATGGGGCAGCACCCAGGACAATACCAGTCCCCTCAAGGCATATACCATGGTGATAAAGGTTCAAGGTTCCAACCAAGCGCCTCCACTTACTAGCTGTGTAATTTTGCACAAGTTACTCCAACCTCTCTGAGCTCATTTTCCTCCTCAGTAACCTGGAGATAATAATAATATGTCTACCTTATGGCGTTGTTGAAACATGAACTGAAATATATATAGATAGATAGATTTGGATTGAGATTTATATGTTCTATATGAAGAATGAAACTGTATGCATTTATGAGACTATATATTATTTTAGTTCATAGCTTAAAAGATTGTTATTGCACATTGTAAAGCTTCTGTAATTCAGATACATTGTGTATATTGATGAATATGGTAATTTGCTTTTCAACACTCTTCCCTGGACAAAGCTGTTATAAAATCAAACTGTATTCTCCAAATCAATTGTATGTTAGAATAAAGGAAATCTGGCCCAATGCCTGGCAAATATTAAGTGGCCAATGTTTATAGGCTATTATTGTATTACTGTATCAGGTGCTCTAGAAACACTAAGAGCTTGACTATAAAGAGAAAAAGTGAAACAGAAGTGAAAGAGAAACATTCCACTTGCAGTGAAGCAGCTGAGAAAAGCTTGGGAAGCTCCGGCTGGTCTGGCAAGGTACTGAACATGATCTAGTGTGGCTGCCTGGAAATTCTCTTGGCCGATTTTATCTGTTAGAATCGATTTGCAAGGCACTTGCTCTGTGCCAGACGCTGAGGTCAGCACCAGGGGGGCAGGATGAGGTAGGAATGATGCCCTCAAGGAAGGCAGGCTAATAGAGGTGATAAAATCAGGCCTAGGCTGCTAAGCTCACGATGGAGCTCGATAAGAGTGGAGTGGAGTCTGATGGGGTAGGGTTTTTCCTAGCACCCAGGAGAAAGGTCTTTCAAATTTACCCAGTCATTTTCAGGTGAAGCCTTCCCCAGCACCCACATCCGCATGGCTTGGCCTGGGGGCTGGGGCTGCCGTAGGAAGCAGGCAGAGAGGGAGGCAGCTCTTTGGCAGCTGTAGTGGCCCCAAAGCAATTATCCTGGAGCAAGGGCCAAGGCCTCAGAAAGCAGACCGTCCAGCCCAAAGGGAAAGAGGAAGACAGCTTTTGGGGACACATGGTCTGGGGTTTCCCAGCGCCCAGCCTCTGGGCTGTACCCACTCACCTGCCTTTTTTCTCTCCCCTCCAGCTTGTCTGTCCCACCAAGTCCCATCCTCACCATGGCTCCTGGAGAGAAGATCAAAGCCAAAATCAAGAAGAATCTGCCCGTGACGGGACCTCAGGCGCCTAACATCAAAGAGCTGATGCAGTGGTACTGTCTGAACACCAACACCCATGGCTGCCGCCGCATTGTGGTGTCGCGTGGCCGCCTCCGGCGCCTGCTCTGGATTCTCTTCACGCTGACGGCCGTGGCCCTCATTTTCTGGCAGTGTGCCCTCCTCATCTCATCCTTCTATACCGTCTCTGTCTCCATCAAAGTCCACTTCCAAAAGCTGGATTTTCCTGCGGTCACCATCTGCAACATCAACCCTTACAAGTAAGAGGCAGCAGCAGGCACGTGGAGGAGGGATCATGCCCCCTCCAGATGCCAATGCCCCTCCCAAAGGTGACACGCTCCAGCCTGCAGACACACTGTTTAGAAACTTGAATTTCTTGCCAGTGTTGGTAAACTGCCCTCTCCCTGGTTTAAAATCTATACCAAATTTTCAATCCATCTGTAACTTCCAAGGATGGACTGGCTCAAGGAAAGGAGGAGGGCGAGAGAGGCTGCAAGGAACTCTTCTGCTTGGTGGCTGGGTCTGGAATGGACAGTATCCCTCCTGTCTTAGACACACACTCACACACACACACACAGAGTCCAGCTTAGCCATTTGCCCTGGACTCGCCAAGCTCACACCCTCACTGTCCCCTGAGCGTGAGCTGGAGGCTGACTCAGACATGACACCTAGATGACTTCCGGAAGCACCCCAGCTGCCCCAAACCCTCACCTGAATCAACCCAGCCCCACTAATTGAGATCACTGGGCCCTGGGCAGGACCATCCCTTCGTCCTGCCTAATTGTCTGCTGCCTGACCTGTTCTAAATGGGTCATCGGACTCCTTCTCAGGATTATCGAAAACTGATCTGTGAGGCAGATGAGAATTTGGCAGAGCAGGGGTGGGGGCGGGGAGAAGGGAAGAACAAGGGAGAAAGACCATCAAAGGGAACTAACTTGTACAGAGTCCTCGATGAGTTGATGGCAAAGCTCAAAATCAAAATCAGGTCTAAACTCATCCTCCCCCTCAAAATCTTTCTTTCCTTCCTTCCTTTCTTCCTTCTTCCCCCACCCTTTCTTCCCTCCATCAGTTGTTCCGTAATCTCTTACTCAGACTCTACAAGTTGTCATTCACTATACTTCGTTCTGGGGCATGGAAGTGAATAACCCAAACACAGTCTTTGTCCTAGTGCAGCTGATGTTGGTAGAGGATTGAAATATTAACAAATAAAACTACACTAATAAAATTAATAATATTCATTATTATTTAACGGTATACATATATATATATACACACACACACATACATACACACAGAGATATGTGGATGGATGGCTAGATAGATAGAATAAACTGGTTAACTCTTGCTAATAATCACATTTTACAGATGGGAAAACTGAGACACAAAAAGGCTAAATGGCTTGACCAGAGTCCTACATCCAGAACCAGGATGGGGAGCTGGAACCCAGGAGTTTGGCTCCAAAGTTTCTATGTCCAGTCACTATGCTGTGTGGTCTGTGTGTAGAGCAAGGGGCGATAGAGTGAGGAGAGTTAAGAGGGAGGTCAGGACCATTCAGTATTGTGAAAATGAAAAGATGGTGTTGTTATGCTTCATGGAGTCAACTCCTGAATCATTCTGTGTTCTTGGGGGTTTTCAAGGGAACAGTAATACCCCTCCCTCCAGCACTGATTCAAGGAGAACCTATGGGCATGGGAAAGTATGCCAGGGGGAGACAGAGCCTGCCCCTAGGGAGACTCCTGGTTAGCAGTTATTTACTTGTCTTCACTGTGGCTGGTTTATGTGAGGCAGCTGATAGTCACCACTCCAGAAATGCTGGTTGGGGCAAACTCATCAACACACCCCGAGAGCAAGCAGACAGTGATGGCAAAGCTGAAGCCACAGGCAGTTACACAAGGGTCACACAGGAGCCTGTCCCCATTTATTTGAGCCAGTGGTCGCATTGGAGGAGGAAAATTAAAAATGGCCTGGTCTTCTTGGCCAAGGGCGCTGGGGTGATGGGCACATTGATGGGAAGCAGCACGGTGAAGGGCCAGAGGGGTTTCCCCATCCCGACTCCTCCTTCCCGCCTTGGCAGGTACAGTGCTGTGCGCCACCTCCTAGCCGACTTGGAACAGGAGACCAGAGCGGCCTTGAAGACCCTGTATGGCTTTTCAGAGATTACGTCTCGGAAACGCCGAGAGGCACAGTCCTGGAGTTCAGTCAGGAAGGGCACTGATCCCAAATTCCTCAACCTAGCCCCACTGATGGCCTTTGAGAAGGGTGATACGGGCAAGGCCAGGGACTTCTTTACGGGACGGAAGCGGAAAGTCAACGCAAGAATCATTAACAAGGCATCAGATGTCATGCATATCCACAATTCCAAGGAGGTGGTGGGATTCCAGCTGGTAAGACGCACATCCTCACCGGTTCGGGGTCTGGGGTGGGATCATGGGTCCAGGGAGGTGGGATCATGGATCCGGGTAGTTGGGGTCCTGGGTCCAGGGAGGCGTGGTCATGGGTCCAGGGAGGTGGGGTCACGGGTTGGGGAGGCAGGGTCTTGGGTCCTGGGAGGTGGGGTCATGGGTCCAGGGAGGCGGGGTCATGGGTCTGGGGAGGCGGGGTCCTGTCCAGGGAGGTTTCTTCTTTGCTATTGGTCCTATAGTACCTCAGAAAGAAACACATTCAGGGTGAATCAGCTGCAAGCAACTGAAACTGACCCAGGCAATCTTTATTATGTGTGCTGTGCTCAGTCGTGTTCAACTCTGCAACCCTGTGAGCTGTAGCCCACCAGGCTCCTTTCCATGGGATTTCCCAGGCAGGAATACTGGAGTGGGTTGCCATTTCCTCCTTCAAGGGATCTTCCTGACCCAGGGATCGAACCTGTGTCTCCTGTGTCTCCTGCATTGGCAGGCAGATTCTTTACCACTGAGCCACCTGGGAAGCCCCCAGGCAATCTTAAGCTGATAAAAATGCCAGTAGAACTGGTATCAGGTTGGTGGCCTGTTAGGAACCTGCCACAGAATAGAAGGTGAGTGGTGAGTGAGCCAGCAAAGCTTCACCTGCTGCTCCCCATCACTTGAACCATCATTCCCACCCGCAACATCTGTGGAAAAACTGTCTTCCATGAAACCAGCCAAAAAGGTTGAGGACCTCTGTCTTAGAAGGTGACCAGTAGCTCATGGAGTCCTCTCAAAGGACAGAAATTAGGGAAGATTCAGGGATCCTGGTGGCAAGAAATGATGAAGAGTCATTTCAGATATTGATGCTGGATTAAATAAGCTTCAATGGTTGATTCAAATCCCACTGGGGACTATCTGATTGACCAAGTTTGGGTCACCTGATGGCTCATGTAGGGTAGGGCATCTTGATGGACAGTCTTAGCCAACTATATCCAAAGAGGGAAAGGAAATTCTACCAAATAAAATTGGAGTGCAGATACCAGAAGGAAGAAAATAGAAAATGAGCAGCAGAAACACACAGTGTTCCCAGCAGTACTTGCCTTCATGAGGTGCTATAGCCTGACTTCTCATCTCTCCTTCTTGGGCCCATTTAAGGGGCCCTGAAGAAGCAGCCATTTACCAAAAATGACTGCCATTGCCTTCCTGGCCACACTCAACCATCACCCTCCTCTCTGTGCCCCAGCTGTTTCTGCAGGATGAGAGCTACTTAGTCTTTATAGACTTGGTTGCTGATTGTGAGACCTGATGGCTCCATTTGCCAATCCTGAGGGGGAAAGTGGTACTTTCTCTAAATCACTGAACCTTTTCGAAGTCTTCCTGGATCCTTACGTGAGAAAAAGTTCTCCTTGATACCTAAATTCACCTTTTGGTGTCTGTCTTTTAGGAGAGTTTTCAAGCCCTATTGATGAAATGAGAAGGTCTTTTCAGGTGGCACAGTGGTAAAGAATCCACCTGCAATGCAGGAGAGATGGGTTCCATCCCTGGGTTGGGAAGATTACCCTGGAGAATGGAATGGCAACCCATTCCAGTATTCTTGCCTGGAGAATTTCATGGACAGAAGAGCCTGGCAGGCCACAGTCCATCGTGTCACAGAGTTGAACATGACTGAGTGACTAAGCACACAAGCAAATAAGTATGATGAGAACATCTGGAACATATCACAATTTCCCTATAGAATTCCCATTATTATATATTTTGAATGCTGGTCTTCCAAACCAGCATATGAGGTGGGGAAGTATGGTATTTTGATCAACATTTTGTAGGTGAAATAAGGATAGGTACGCAGATGACACCACCCTTATATGGCAGAAAGTGGAGAAGAACGAAAGAGCCTTTTGATGAAAGTTAAAAGAGGAGAGTAAAAAGTTGGCTTAAAACTCAACATTCAGAAAGCTAAGATCATGGCATCCGGTCCCATCACTTCATGGCAAATAGATGGGGAAACAATGGAAACAGTGACAGACTTTATTTTGGGGGGCTCCAAAATCACTGCAGGTGGTGACTACAGCCATGAAATTAAACGACGCTTGCTCCTTAGAAGAAAAGTTATGACCAACCTAGACAGCATATTAAAAAGCAGACACATTACTTTGTCAAAAAAGGTCCATCTAGACAAATCTATGGTTTTTCCAGTAGTCATGTGTATATATGAGAATTGGACTATAAAGAAAGCTGAGCACCAAAGAATTGATGCTTTTGAACTGTCGTGTTGGAGAAGATTCTTGAGAGTCCCTTGGACTGCAAAGCAATCAAACCAGCCAATCCTAAAGGAGATCAGTCCTGAATATTCATTGGAAGGACTGATGTTAAAGTTGAAACTCCCAATACTTTGGCCACCTGATGCGAAGAACTGACTCATTTGAAAAGACCCTGATGCTAGGAATAATTGAAGGCAGGAGGAGAAGGGGATGACAGAGAATGAGATGGTTGAATGGCATCACCAACCGGATGGACATGAGTTTGAGCAAGCTCCAGGAGTTGGTGATGGACAGGGAAGCCTGGTGTGCTGCTGTCCATGGGGTCGCAAAGAGTCGTACACAACTGAGCGACTGAACTGAGTGCCTTGCCCAGAGTTCTGCAGAGAGGTCATGGCAGTGTCTGGGCTAGAATCTCAATTTTTAGACTGTTGATCCAATAAGAAGTGTGAAAGTTGGGTGGAACTCAGTAGCCATAACCGGTTAAAGCCTGACTACCTGGGGACTCTGAAGAAGCTGGTCTTGCTTCTCACTTAGGGACTCATGAGAGTGAGGCTCTGTGTCCTTCCTCACTCAGCCCCTTCTTGGTCCTTGAGGCTTGAGGATGTTGAGTCCCTGGCCTCAGAAATGAAAAGAAGCCCATCCTGGCCCAGGTATCCGTCCTGTTCCCCTGAGAATCTAGGGTCCCGGTTCCTTAGCCTCACAGTCCTTCTAAAGGCCCCTGGCAGGGCCAGTGGCTTTATCTTGCTGTCTCCTCCTCTCCACAGTGTTCTAATGACACATTGGACTGTGCAGTCTACACCTTCAGTTCAGGGGTCAATGCAATCCAGGAATGGTACAAGCTACACTACATGAATATCATGGCGCAGGTGTCTCAGGAGAAGAAAATCAACATGAGCTACTCTGCTGACGAGCTGCTGATCACTTGCTTCTTTGACGGGGTGTCCTGCGATGCCAGGTGAGTCGTGGAAGGCTGCTCTCTCAGCTCCAGGGACCAGGGGCTCTAAGTGCTGGGCTCCTTGCACGCACCTGCAGCTCAGCTAGGGGTCTTGGGAGTGACAGGTGCTCCTCTCACTGACCCTGCCTTTTGGCAAATGAGCTCAGCTCTAGAGTCTGTAAGGAAGATGCAGATGACTTAGCATTCAAACATCCCTAAATGCATTAAATTATAAAAACAGAGTAGTTGATGGTGGACATATAACCTTGTATATTACCATCACACATACCAGTGAGAACCATCAATCTAGTCAAGAGGAAGTAAGGAAGGAGAGATGGAAGGAGGCAGAGAGAGAAGAAGGGAAGGCAGGAAGGTCTGTGTAGAGACATGAGCTTTCAGACCTTTCTACTGTTAAGATAACACCCAGATTCCTGGTGGACACTAGGCAGTCATGGGACATTCTAAAGTGTTCCTGTTTATTGTAAGGGCTTTCTTCATCCTTTTAAAATACTAAGCTTTTCTATATGTTAGTCGGTATATTGATCTTTGTGAAAACTGAGTGATTAGAATCATGTCTCCTGAAGGTTGGATTCTAAAGTCAGTATAAGGACATGTATGATGTGATTCTTTTTCTGGGAATCATTTGTTAGGAATCGGAATGGGAAAAAAGTCAAGTGCTGGCTGAGATATTCCAGAGTAGAGGAAATGAGGACAGATATATGGGCCCAAAGAATGCCAAGTCAGGATGGAGAGGGAGGTGAGTGGATTAAGAAGATGAAGGGAAAGCAGAGGGTGGTTCTACATCAACATGTGTCAATTGGACGAGGGGCCTTGTTTGTCATCTGTCAGAGGAAAGATGGGGAGAGAAAGTCGTGTCTATCATCCATTGTCCACAGAAGAGAGCTGGCCCATTAGCACTGCCCACTGAGATGTCAGCTCAGGTGCATGATGGGAGTTCCCAGCACAGCCCTTTCTGACCTGTATTCTTGCACCATAGGAACTTCACGCTTTTCCACCATCCAATGTATGGGAATTGCTACACATTCAACAATAGACAAAATGAGACTATCCTCAGCACCTCCATGGGAGGCAGTGAGTTTGGTAAGAAAATCTGCATCAAGGGGATCCTTGGGTGCTCTAATGACAAGCTTGCTGGCAGCAGGACAATGGGGTGCTTTATGCCTTCCAGGGACAGAGGAGCCTGGTGGGCTTCCATCTATGGGGTCGCACAGAGTCGGACACGACTGAAGCGACTTAGCAGCAGCAGCAGCAGCAGCATGCCTTCCAGAGATACAGGCTCTCCCTAACCTGGCCAGAAACTGGGGATACAACATTTTCTCATCCATGTTGGTTCTTTCCTTCTCTATCAGAGTCTGTTTTCTTTTTTGACATCTCCTCTTTGCTTTTGAGAGAGCAACAGGGGCAATCCTGGTATTTCTGGGGAAACCACTCAGGTTTAAGACTGTAGTTGGAGTGAGTAATGCCGGAGGCAGCTTCTGGATGGACTTAAATCCAGAGGCACTGAGCAGATTAGAGATGCAAACACACCTTCATCTTGAGTAAGGTGACAGATTTTGGAGCCAAAACCCACTCTGTCACTCACTATGCGACCCAGTGAAAGTTTACTCCCCTTCATTTATAAAGTGGGAATAATAATGGTATTGATAATACAAGGTAATTGAGAAGTCAAAATATGAAAAGCAGTTAGAATAAGACCTGACATGCACTGTATTCGTTTGGTTGGGCTGCCATAGCAAAATATTATAGATGGGTGACTTAAACAATGGACATTTAGAAATTCATGGTCAAGCTGCTGGCAGGTTTGCTCCTGGTGAGGACTCTCTTGCTGGCTTGCAGTCAGCCACCTCCTCCCTGTGTCCTCACATGGCCTCTCATCGGTGGCAGCAGAGAAAAAGCTGTATTGTCTCTTCTTCTTATGAGAACACCAGATCCTAGGGGATTAGGGTCCACCCTTATGACCTTATTTAACCTTAATCACCTGCCTAAGGCTGATTCTCCAAATATAATCACAGTGGGGATTAAGACTTCAACATATAAATAGGGTGGAGGGGAGTCTGCAGAAAGACACACTGTTCAGTCCATCACACATACTAAGCAGACAATAAATGCTAGTTGTGGTTGTCATCACTACTGTTACTACCATTGCTGCTGCTGCTACTATTACCACCAAAAATTACTACCTCCAACATTATTATTATTGCTACTCTACTAGTAAAATAAAGACTTGTAAAGAAGGCAGGAACTCAACCAGTTGGTCTATCTTCAAAGATTCTAAACAAATTAAACCTGATTTGATATATAGATATGCTCCTATAAGGAGAGGCAAAGTCTTATGGAGGAAAACCTACTTGGATTCCTCATCTTTGTTACTGCACAGTCTGTATTCTTACCACACCTGCAAGAAACCATAATTCAGGGCACATACGTGGGAAGAAGTAGTCTGGGAACCATTGCGCAATCCTGACTCTGCTGCATTTGAGCTGCGTGACCTTGAGTAAATCACTTCCCCACTCTGGGCTTTGATTCCTTTACTTACAAATAGAGTGAAGGCAAAAGGAAAAGGGGATGGCAGAGGATGAGATGGTTAGATAGCATCACTGACTCAATGGACAGGAATCTGAGCATACTCTAGGAGACAGTAAAGGACAGGGGAACCTGGTGGGCTACCTACAGTTCATGGGATCGCAGAGTCAAACACAACTTAGCAACTGAACAACAACAAAAAGAAGTCAGAATAATTTTAAAAATTCTCTTCTTTCAACTCACATGGGCCCTGTTCATTCGCTCATTTGTTTACCAAATATTTTTGAGTACCTTCTATATGTCAGGCCCCCTTCCAAGTCTTAGGGACCCAGTGGTGAATAAGATAGATGCCATCCCTGATTTCAAGGAGCTTGTATTTTGTTGGAGAGAGACAGATAAATGAATGAACAAGCCCATAGACATTATCTGGTTATCAATCCCAGGTTTATACCTCAAGAATTACCTCACACAAGGGCTGAGTTGAGATGGGAATTTTATTTCAGATAAGGAGGTCTAGAAAGGCCTCTGGGTTGAGGGTTATTTGAAGAGGAGAAGATGTATGATAAGGTCCATTGAGGAGCATTTGAGCACTAGCAAGTCCGAGGACCTCAGTGAGGAAATGGATTTGGTGTGCTCTGGAAACAGAAAGATGACCAGTGTCCTTGGAGCTTCCTGATGGAGGGGGAGAGTGGGATGAGGAGGAAGGCATCACCATCACCCTGAGAGCTAGTCAGGTTTCTGGACAGTACTTTATGGCAACCCCGTGTATGCAGTGAGATGCCTCTGAGGAGTTTCAGACAAGGGAGTGACCTGATTTTAAAAGGTCCCTCTGGCTGCTGGGCTCAGATTAGACGCAGGTGCAACAGTAGGATCAGGGAGAGGATTTAGGGCAGTGACCAGATGCACTACTGGTATCTCAACCACAGCCCTGCACATCCCTTTGAGTGCCCATCAGAACTCCCCATCTCAAAGAGCCACAAGGAGATTCATGTCTTAGGCCAGGTAGCGAAACTTGTGCTTAGCAAAGCTGCAGTAGTGACACTGCTCCTGAGCCCTATTTTGTGTGAAGCCCTGGAAACAGAGCAGTGAAAAGTCACACTGCCCTCACGGAGCCTCCCATTTTGCTCTTGTCCACCTTTCACTTGTAGGAAATGTCTGGGTCTTGGTTCTGGGACTCCCAGAGTGGTGGGGCAGGTAAGCTACCAGCAGGGCATCTTCTTCTGGCTTTTGACCACAACGGGCTGCCTTGTCCTTCCAGGGTTGCAGGTCATCCTGTACATAAATGAAGAAGAGTACAATCCCTTTCTAGTGTCCTCCACTGGGGCTAAGGTGATTGTCCATCGGCAGGACGAATACCCCTTCGTTGAGGACGTGGGAACAGAGATTGAGACGGCCATGGCCACCTCCATAGGAATGCACCTGGTAAGAGAACGCTCTGATTTCCATCTGCTTGGCAAGGAGGACAGATTTTATTGAAGGATAATCAGTGAGGTGGAACTTATGGAAAAGGGTATTGGTTTTAAGAGGAAACATAGTCTTGTGTTTTCCAGTGATTATGCAAATGGTCACTCTCTAAGTTACACTAAGGGCTGTCTTTATGTCTTCTGTATGGATGAACAAGGACAGGACACCATTTAGGATAAGAATTGAAGGAACCTTCCTTGTTCCAGAGACAGACATCCACGTTTATGAAACCTGTGCTAGAAGCAAGGCATCAGATACTAATGATGTTTATTTGTCAGTAATATAAATGGAGCAGATTTACACCTTCCTGGGCCACCTACAGGCCAATGGAGCATGTAAATCACTATTGGAAAGTCATTGGGCCTTCATAGGTCTATTTAGTCCCTCCTACTTCCATCAATTTTATCTCATTGACCAAGAACCCCCCTCTCTCAAGTCTGTGAGCTTCTCTGAGCTCACTGGGTGCTGAGAACACTCATACCTGTCAACAGAAGCACATCTAGGCTGCAGACTCCAATCCTTGGGTTGGCCATGCCCAGTGGAAGTGGAGGGCAAGGTGACAGGTGTCCAAGGACACCCCTGGTCACATCACTGCTTGTATAGTCTCCTGTTTGCAGGCGTGGGTCTTTTATGCCAGTCTGTCTCTGACTCTGTCAGTCTGCCTCTCATTCTAACAAAATAACTATTAAGTACTTATTTCAAAGGAGTATATGCACAAAGTCAGTACAAGGATCCTACCGTGCAGATGCACCTCTCATATCCCTGACCGCTGGTCTCCTCCTTCCTCCACACGCAGCTGTGGCTGTTGCTTCCATGACTCAGGAGGGTGGTATAGTCTTCTTCAAGCCTGTGTGTAGGTGTAATCCTTTCTTCTTTTATGCAAATGCAAAATACTCTTCTGCCCCACTTTTCACTTGATCGTATAGCTTGGAAATAGTTCCATATCAATACACATAGATTCTGCCTCATTCTTCCTAAAGACATAATATCCCATTGTGTGGGTAAGTTATTGAAGCAATTCCCTGTTGATACACTTGAACTTGTTTCCAGGTACAACTGAAAACAGTGGTGCAGTGGGATGTGTAGTTATCCAATTACTTCCTGGAAGTATATCATTCAAGAGGTAGATTAGCCAAATTGCCCTCCAGTGACGTTGTACCAAAACAGGCATTAAGCAATTTTTAATCTTTACTAATTTAAGAAAAAAATGACATATATTATAAGTTTAATTGACAGTCATTCTTAGTGCTATTTTTTTTTTCACCTATTTATGGAGGGAAAAAAAAGTCTCCTTGTGGACCCTTTGTTCATGCCTTTGTTTATACCAACTTTAACATTCCAAGGCTTCCCTTGTGGCTCAGCTTGTAAGGAATCTATCTGCCTGAAATGTGGGAGACCTGGGTTTGATCCCTGGGTTGGGAGGATCCCCTGGAGAAGGGAAAGGTTACCCACTCTAGTATTCTGACCTGGAGAATTCCATGGACTGTATAGTCCATGGGGTCACAAAGAGTTGGACATGACTGAGCAACTTTCACGTCACTAAAGTCCCAAATTAAACCTTACGCTTCATCCCTCACAAATTTTTCCTCCAGAGCAGTGGTGTCAAACTTGTTTGATCATTAGATTTAGATCTACTGAATCAAACTCTCTGAGAGACAAGCCCAAGGATCTGTATTTTTACCAAACCCCAGCAGTCATTCCAAGAGGCAGCAAACTCAGGAACCTGAGCTTTAGAAACCCGAGTAGTTTAGAATGAAAGAAGAAGAAAAATGTGTCTTCCTAAGAGAAAGTAGAGCTAGGATGACACCAGAGCTTTAGCACAGCTATAAATGCTGTCTTCAGAGTGTTACAAAGTCATATGGTGGGCAATGGAGCTTATATATCTATCCATCACCTATTCATCCAGCAAGCGTTTTCTGAGCGCTTCATGTGTGCTAGATACTGGAGCTACATCAGTGTCCCCAGGACTGTCCCTATCCTTTTAGACTTTGGGTCTAACAGAGAGAATTTATATTAACAAACCAAAAATCACATAGGTGATTAACTATAATCATCATAGGTGCTAAGAAGGATAAATACAGGATGCATGAGAGCATATCACAGAGATGCCTGATTAAGGGCTTTTTTTTGGGGGGGGGGGCAGTGGGGAGTGCAAGGGGTGCTTTCCCAAGGAAGTGGTATTTAAGTTGAGAAAGCAGAGTTGCTCGACTGGGATCTGTGGCTTCGATGCCTCACCATGTCCCGGTCAAGAGCAACCTTGGACAAGAGAAAGCGTGGGGATGGTCCTCTGGGAGCCCCAGCGCTCAGAGGAGCCCTGCACTTAGGGGCTTTGTTCAAAGTGGGCAGTTTGTTCCGCAGGAGAAGTGTTGTGTACCAGCTTGGGCTGTGTGGGGGCTGATGGCCCAGGAAAAAATATCTTGAGCCCTAACTTGCTTGAACTGTGATTTGAAAAGACTTTAGGCTCCTACTTAAGGAACTAGGTCTCTGACTCCTCTCTTCACCAGCAGATTACAAAACTCCCTGATCAGAACAGTAAGCATTTTGGTCCAATGTTCCCCGGAAATTTTGTACTTGAAGCACCTGGAATTTACAGCACATTCTTATCTTCTTGTTTCATGCTCTCCTTCCCTCCTGCCTATTGCGGTGTCTGCAAACTTAGGGCTTGGGAAAGTATGAGGACTAAGGGAAATGCCCTCTGGTTTTCTTCTCTGAGCTTAGGAATGCGCATCACCTTGTTAAGCAAATGCTCCCTTTAGCAATGATGGGTAAACAAAGGCAAGGGTGGGTTTTCTGCTACACCTAGCTTGAGATGTACAAAATCAAAGCCACAGAGCAGGGTCAGGCAACTCTGGTTCTGATTTATGAGCATTTAAGACAACAAAAAAACCCAAGGATTACTGAGAGGTCACCAGGGGGTCATTAAGAATAAGTCCAAACACACTAGACTTCCTTCCTTTCTTCTTTTTTTTTTTGATAGTTATTTATTTACTTTTGAGAGGCATGTTAAACTGGTGGACTCAGTTGGTTAGGCAGCTGGTTAACAAGTCTTCTTTCATTCACTGGGACTATGTGCCCAAAGCACTGGATATTCAGAGATGGGTATAACAGAGTACCTACCTTCAACATTCACCTTTAAGAGAAGGCAACACAGCTTTGCAATATAGGTCCAAGCTGTATGGGAACAGGGACCATTTCTATCTGTTCCCAGGCTCAGTTCTTAGAACATAGTAGATCCTCCGTAAATATTTTTGGATATATGGATGAACGGGAGCCAGGACAAAAGCTGCTGGTCTAGGCTTTATAGATGATGATTTCTTAAGGACAAATATCAGGCAAATAGAATCAGGAAGGGCTACTCCAGACAAAGGGCACAGCAATTACAAAGGGGGTTGCAGAAAGCATTTGAAGTCTCATTTCAAAATGATTCAAAATGTAGTGAATCATTTTGAAAAACCACTTTGAAGTGCACTCAAAATACTAGAGGCAGCTGAGTATTTACAGTAGTACTAGAAAGAAATTATGACTCCTTCGCTGAGGCAGTGGCTGTGGGGGTGAGCAGAAGTGAATCGATTTGAAAGATATCATAGTGTGGAAGCAACAGTGCCTGACAACCAAGGTCATCGGGGAAAGTTAGATCCATATTTAGGTTCTGACTTGGGTATTGGGTTGAATGGAAGTACCAGGTTCTGAATTAGGGCATACAAGAAGAGTAGGGTTTGGGGAGAAAATGACCACTTCAGTTTGGCACATACCCAAGTTGTAGCTTTGGGAAATCAGGCTGAAAATGTCCAGTGATTAGATGCTCTAAGCCTGGAGCTCAGGAGAAAAATCCACAGGCGATGGTGGGGTGGGAGTTGCATCTAACAGTTCTAGACTTAGAAATAAATGCCATCACTCAAGACCTGAGACAGAACGCAGATGTTTAAGGGTTGAACAGAGAGGAAATGGAGAAATAGAGGCACCAAAGTAGCAGCAGAAGCTGGAAAGACTTGGTGTCAAAGAAATGAAGAGAGTTTCAAGGAAGGTGTTAGCTAGAGTGCCAAACAGTTGAGCGGTCAGGCAAGATAAAGGGTAAAAGCAGTTTTCTGGGTTTGGCAACCAAGAAGTCACTGGTTCTTTGCCAGAACAGTTTTCTGTGGAAGGAGTGGAACAGAAACCAAAGTACAATAGGTTGGATCGTGAATGGGAGATGAGGAAGTGGGCAAAGGCAAATTCACCTAGGGGGCTGCGGACCAGGCCCTGAAGAGGGGCGAGACTTCACTGTCCCTGCAAACCCCACTGCACATTCTTATCTTAAAGCACCCGTTTCTTTTCACAACCGTGTTTGTAACAGGGATTAAGGGCTCAGACTCTGGAGCCAGACAACTAGGATCCAAACCCCAAATTTGCACTTTGGTCGTGTGATCTCTGTGTCTCAGTTACCTCATCTGTAAAATGGGGATGATAGTAATATTCCTGTACAGGCTGGTGAACATTCAGTGAGCTGATTAGTGTGAAACTGAAAACAGTGCTTGGCATGTGTTGAGTGCTCCAAAAATATGGGCTATTACTATATACCTTTTTTTTAAAAAAGAAAGAAAGAAAGAAAAGAGATATGAAAGGATGGAAAAATAAGCACTAGGGGAGATTTTTCTTGTCCTTCCTGACACCCCCATTCTTTCTGAGTGAGATATTGTTTTCTTCCATATAGTATATAGAAGGCATACTAATTATTTGCCGAATGTGTTACAAACATTTTTCCCAGTTTGTGCTTTCATTTTAGTTTTCATTATGCTACCTTTTTCACATGCAAAAACATCAGATGTTTACATAGCCAAAGTTTTCATTTTCTTCTTTAGTCATTATGTTTATTGAGTATTTTTCCTCCTTGAGATCAGATACTGAGCTGAATTTCCTTCCAGTTATTTCATTATTTCATTTAATAGTTTAACCCACTAGAATTTCTATTTCTGCAGGATTTGAAATTGAGATAGGATTTATTACTTCCTCCAAATTCTTAATAAGTAGTCCTAACTTCATATGTTGAATAGTTCTTTTTTCTTCCATTGATTAGGAACACAAATTCTTATAATTTATTAGCATCTAGGAATTATTTCATAACTTATTACAATATAAAAACAGAACAAAAGGAAAGAGAGTCAAAGCACCCATAACTCCATCTAGGGTTTCCTGTTGCCCTTGGGCATTTCCCTGACACAGTTCAGACTTGACAGGGGTGAGCTAAGGACTCCTGTGTGACCTCCCTCCTCCCCCAGAATTCTCAGAAGGAAGCAGATAGGACCTGGTTCGAGAAAAATGCGTCCTGTTTCCACATACACCTACATGCAACACATATGCACACATACGCCTAATCACACCCACACACACCTGTGCATGCATGCATACCACACACCTATATTTCCATCTGAACTTCACACACTCTCTCTCTCACACACACACATAGATTCATTCTCATTTTGGGGCCCCTAGGGATCAGGACAGAAGCCAAAACGTTTCCCCACCCTGCGCATGTCAGCAGTCCGGGAAAGCTGACAGGGAAAAGAGGAAATGAAAGGTGAGGGGGTGAGGCGGAGAGAGAGTGAGAGAAAGCCAGGGCTCTGTCCAAATTCTGACTGATGCTTCGAGAAGCTGAAGACACCTATTCCACTCTAAAAGGGACATTTGCCCCACCTGCCTCAGCCCCAGGTGTTTTAGGAAACAGCCTGAATAACCCAGGAGCTCTGAGCTTGATAAGCATCATCCGGAGTACAGGGCCATTGAACACTCAAAAGGCATAAAAATCACAATGTTATGACTTTCTCACAGTCAGTTTCCTGGAAGTGGTCCTCAGGCTGGTTCTCAAAGTAGAAAGAGCCCCAGCTGCCTTTGCCAACTGCACAGGGCTTACCTGAGTGGACAGACCCTCCCCTCTAGATTTCAGGGTACTGAACTCTCCCCGCAGGCAAATAGAGCCCAGGGCTGACACTCGGGGCTCTGTGGCCAGTTTAGCAGAACCTGGGGGCTCCAAGGGACACCTGATCGGGAGTGTGCTGCTTGGAGAAGCTTAGAGGATAGGGGGTGGGTGAAGGTGCCCTTGAGGGAAGCCACTGCTTGGCATCTCTTTGCCCATTTCCCAGCCCAGCCCTGGCATGTACTGGAAGCTCTGAATCTGTTTGTTCCCCAGCTATTAGAGGAATGAAGTAAGTCTGTTTATTCGTACTGACATGGAAAGACACTCACTCTTTATTATGAATGAGAAAAGGATATTATAGGGCAAGGGAACATGTGAATCTTTGTGTCTGGATCTCAGGATCGAAATCTGACCTGTTGGAGTAGGTGCCCAGGGGAAGAGAGGAAATCAGACAGTTTCTTTCCTCTCTGCTTCTTCTGTTTAAATGTTTTAAAATGAGCACTGTCTTTTGCCCTGGAGATACTTGCAGTTAATTGAGGAAGAGTAATGGATCAACAGATGAATTACAATACAAACAGAAAGAGATTATAGCCCCTTGAGATGACTGTAGTTTCTACCTGCACCAAACTTCTTGACTCCTTTCCCCCCAACCCCCACCCACCCCTAACTATCTTTCTCTCTATTCAGCCACTCTTCAAAGAAAAAAGAATTTTATTCCATCCCATAAATCTGCCATCCATTTGCCCTTTACCCTCCCCATCTTAAAAAAAAAAACAAAAAACAACTTTGTACGCACACACACACACACGAACCAAATCCTAGCTATGAGTTGGTCACAATTTATATTCTATAGTTGCTTCGCCTTGGGAGACATTATCCTTCTTCTCCCTGATTGTCTTGGCTGGATTGTTCCTTTGTAGTGACAAATATTAAACTAGAACCAAACGTGTAACCATAATAAAACATAATTTAATAAGGCTTTCAAACAGTGAGTTGCAACGTTCTTATCTCCTCTGATCACGGTATCATTCTCTACTGCTGGGCATTCTTTGGTCCTCTATAAGAAAGTCCATTTTTCCAAGTCACCTCCTGGGACCAAAAGGTAAGAAGGTAGGAAATGAGTCCTTCACTGAGACAAGAATCCCATGCAGCACAGTCACTGCTCATCTAAGCCCTCCTGCCCGTTCCCCGTGGATTCTCCAGTGGCTCACTACCATTCAGAAAACCAAATCCAAACCCACATTTCTCAGCACAGTGTAGGAGACTGCCACAATTTGTCCTTGGCGTCCCTCTCGGACGTCATCTCCAGCGACGGCTCTCCCTTTCACCACGATCCAGCCACCCTGACCCTCTCCCGCCTCCACTCTGGCTGCTCCCTCTGCCTAATCCTCTTCCTACGTTTCTTAACAAATCCAGCTCTTTCCTGCCGTTCCATGTCCAACCAACATGTTCTTTTCTCAAAGATGTCTTCCCTAATCACTTTTGGAAAGGTTGTCCCCTCCTCCCAGCCCTTCCAGTCTCTACCCAGTTTCACTGATTACTATAAAAAATTATTCAAAATGACTTATTTGTTTTTGATCATCTGTCTACTCCATTAGAGTAGACACAAGAGGGTGGCTTGCTCACAAGAGGGTGGCTCAGTGGTAAAGAATCCAACTGCCAATGCAGGAGATGTGGGAAACTCAGGTTCAGTCCCTGGGATGGGAAGATCCCCTGGAGAAGGACATGGCAACCCACCCCAGTACTCTTGCCTGGGAAATCCCATGGACAGAGGAGCCTGGCAGCCTACAGTTCATGGGGATGCAAAGAGTTGGACATGACTAAGCGACTGAGCGACATAGTGCTAGAATAGCATCAAGCTCCTAGTAGGTGCTCAAAAAATATTTGTTAAATAAATGAGTGGGTGGTTGCTCAGCTCCTAGAAGCTGCTAGCAATGCCCCTTGTCTGGGTCCTGGAGGAGTGCAGGGCTGAATGTGTGGCTGCTGTGATTACAGACGGAGTCCTTCAAGCTGAGTGATCCCTACAGCCAGTGCACAGAGGACTGGAGTGACGTGCAGATCACGAACATCTACAACGCCACGTATTCCTCCCAGGTACAGGCTGAAGGCAGCACCCAGCCCCGGGCTGTGGTCTGGACCCAGGAGACAAAATTATATATAGGCTGGGGTGTGTCTGGGACCAGGAACTGTGGTGAGAATCCTGGGGTTCATCCAAAGATCTCAAGAACAAATGATGCCGGCTGGTTCCAGTCCTCTTCAACCCACCTGTAACCAGAGCTTAATCGAGGTTTGCGTGGAACAGAACGTGCAGCTCGACAAGCCTGCTTCCTAAATCGGCCTTGGCAAATGAGAGACAGGAGGAGGAGGCAGTCTGGGAGGGGCTGGCTAAGGGGTGCCTTTCATCCGCTGACAGCTTTGGACAAGTTGTGCGCTCCTCAGTAGCCACCAGGGGAGTTTGGATTGGATCAGGGGCTGCTAATGGGTGGTTCCCAGGCCCCTTCCAACCTGCCCACCTGGTTTTTCTGGATGGTGTTTAAAAGTTGGGGAACTTCATAAGAAAACCCAGATTTCTAGCTTCTCTTGAAAAACAAGATCTGGTGACAATGGGCCCATATTTCTATAGGATAAACAGTGAGTAGAGTGGCCTTATCAAATGAGACATGTCCTTTGGTTCCCTGCAATCTCCACCACCCATCATTACCTACATTGACCCTTGGGTGCAGTCACCTGCTACACATTGTCTTCCTTTCTGTGAGTCTGCCCTTCGCCTCCCACCAGGATACCCAGAGAGTCAAGTGAGAATCACCCAGCAGAGCCCAAGGACCAGGCACCCTCTGCCCTGAATCCTCTAGCTTCCATTAGAGCTGAGCTGAGAGGTGGTGGAGACATTGAATGAAAAGAGACTAGTGGTCAGACAAGGTCTGCTTGTTAGAAATAGAGATGCAATCACACTGACATTAAAATAGAAGAAAATGAAAAGTCAGCTCATTGGAAAGACACTCAGGATAATATTTAGTGAGAAGCTACCATTCACAAACACTTTACATCTTTTGATTCTATCACAACAACCCCATGAAGTAGGTCCTGTTATACAGATTTCAAAAATGAAGAATACAAAGCATCAGAGAGTTTAAGTAACTCACCTGAGGTCACACAACTGGGAGGTGGCAAAGCTGATATATGAACTCAAGTAGCCTGACTTCCAAGCCCCCTCTGTTAGCTTTTATGGCTCTAAGCTTTGTGGATATCATGGTACCTTAAGATCCCCAGGGATCCTGAGTGGAGGGCATGCAGCTGAAAACTAGAAAGTTGGAGACTGTGTTTGTTTCGCTGTTTCTTGGCACCTGCTCCAAGTTCCCCACTTATCTCTGGGTCAGCACTCACATGGTGGCAAATGACCACCCCAACCCCTCCCTAGCTCATCCTGGCCTCCACATCTCAAATTCCCAATAAGTTTTCTAGCTTTGTCCCTTTGACCCTATCGGCCAGGACATGAGGGGTACATTTATGCTGTCTGCCAAGGCTGTGGGAGGCTGACCCTCTCTGACTGGGGGATATAGGGAGGGGAGATATCTGGCAGCCACAAGCAAGGAAGTTAAGGGGACTCCTGGGTCTTGTCTTTCAGATCTGCCTTCACTCATGCTTCCAGGCAAAGATGGTAGAGAACTGTGGGTGTGCCCAGTACAGTCAGCCTCTACCTCAGGGAGCCGACTACTGCAACTACCAACAGCACCCCAACTGGAGTGAGTGAGACCCCAACACCCCCCACCTTGCACACTCCCCACCTTGCACACCCCCACACCTTGCACACCCCCACCTTGCACCCCCCCACATTGCACACCCCACACCTTGCACACCCCCACCTTGCACCCCCCACATTGCACATCCCCACATTGCACACCCCCACATTGCACACCCCCACCTTGCACACCCCCACATTGCACACCCCCACATTGCACCCGCACACCTTGCACACCCCAGGATCAGGGTCAGCCCCACCCTGGCAATAACTAAGGCACTCCCAGGACCCTGCCCTGATGGCCTATGACCTGAGGGAGACAGAGAGGTATTAACCAGTTTCACTCGTGTTGTGAAACCTGGCTTGAATTCCACTTTCTGATTAAGGACCAGATGCTACACCCCAGCTTCTGCTAAGTCCCTGACCCCCTCTGTCAACTCCAGGAGGTAGGGACTATTGATAGTGTCCTTTCACAGAACAGGTAACTGAGGCTCAGAAAGGTTAAGCAGCTTGCCCAAGGTCACACAGCCAGGGTCTAACAAAGCTAGACCCAAGGCAAGGACTACCAACCTTTCCCACCTCCAGCTAATGTTCTTAACTGTGGCAGTTTTCTGTCTCTCAAAATCACAAGGCAGCAATTGTTTCCAGAGAACTAGTATTTGTAGAAAGTGGAAGGTAAAATCATTAAAAGGAGACTGTGGGGGTATCAGGCTTCCCAAGTAGCTCACTGGGTAAAGAATATGGCTGCAATGCAGGAGATGCAGGCAGATGCAGGTTCGATCCTTGGGTCAGGAAGATCCCCTGGAGGAGGGCATGGAAACCCACTCCGGTTTTCTTGCCTGGAGAATCCCATGGACAGAGGAGCCTGGCGGGCTATGGGCCATGGGGTCACAGAGTCAGACCCGACTGAAGCGACTAAGCACGCACACAGGGGGGTATCACTGGAAAACCCTAGAAAGGGCCCTGTGGCCCCAAAGTTCATATCGCCCTTCTCCTTAGTGTACTGCTACTACCAGCTGCACCAGGCCTTCGTCCGGGAAGAGCTGGGCTGCCAGTCAGTCTGCAAGGAAGCCTGCAGGTGAGTGGGCCCGAAGGGGTGGGACGAACACGGCTGGGCTGGGCCAGGCCCCCCACACTCACTCCAGGCCCTTCTCCGCTTAGCTTTAAGGAGTGGACACTGACCACCAGCCTGGCACAGTGGCCATCGGAGGTCTCCGAGGTAAGTTCTCTGCCCACTCTTTCCCCCTGGCACCGTTGGCCATTAGCCTGAAGTCCTGGCTGTGTCCTCTGGCCTCAGGGGTGATCCACAGGGGAGGCCCATGTCAGGAGCTGGGGCTGAGAGGAGAGAGCAGATAGGCTGGTTCTAGCCTCTCCAGGCATCCCCAGGCCACTTCTTTCTCCACCACAGAAATGGTTGCTGTCCGTTCTCACCTGGGACCAAAGCCAGCAAATAAAGAAGAAACTCAACAAGTAAGTTGATCTCTGCCCTGCTTCCTCTGCTCCTGCCCACCCTGGTTCCAGCCTCCTCACTTGATTCCTCACTGCCAAACCCTCTCCTTCTCATTTGTTCATTCCTTCACTCATGCCTTTATGCAACAGATATTTCTTGAGTCTTATCATGAGGTAGGCCCTGCTCTAGGCTAAGGGCTCTCAACTGTTTCACTACAACCCACAGCTTGAAAATATTGATACTTTCCCCACTGCGTCCCATTAAAAACATCACCAAAATAAAACAGTACTCTTTTATGACGTACAGGCTGCTTCTCAAATATTGCACTCTTGTGTACCAAACCATCTGACTTGTGTACCAGTTGTTTACAACTGTCCGATGGGTCACAACATAGTTCTAAATGCTTGGTGCTTGTATCAGTTGATAAAAGTTTCAAATCTCTCTGTGGTTGCAACCTGGTCTTTTATATTTCACTTTGTAAAAGGTACTGGTAAAGGCTCAGTACATTTATTTCATGAGTTCCTGATGTATCTTGACCCACTTGGAAAAATACTCTTTAAAACCATGCAGCTTTTAATTGCACTTGAATTTTCCTCATCAAAATTCACTTCCAAAGGACCTTTAGCAAAAATCAGCCAGGCCAGAGTTCAAGGATCTCAGCAGATGGAGACAAAGGTAGAGAGGGTGGGTGGGGGGATTGCTGTGTAAACTCACATTTCTCTGGGCCACTACTGTTTACATAGTTCGCTACCCCAGTTTGGTCTCCAGCATCTTATTTAATGTCCACTAGGCAAGGTGTGAGGTGCTGGGGGTTGCCATGATGACCAAGCAGACATCATCCTTGCCTCCATGGTACTTAGAGTCTAATAATAAAGATAGACTTTGATCAAATCATTGCACACTGTTAAACCAAGTATTGCATAGTAGTGACCCCTGAGCCAAATATGGTTCCACCAATATAACCTGTTATTTCCAACTTTTCCTGAGAGATTGAAAATTCTGGCAACATTCAACTTCCATTTTTGCAAAGCACCAAAGAGTACTGAGTACTGGCTGCCTCTCTGGAATAAGCATGAACTTTCTAGCTTGCCACAGTCCTAACAGGAGGGAATTTAGTACAGTGAGCGGTTAAGAGCAAGAACTTTAAAGTCAGATGTAGCTAGGTTTGAATATCAACTCTACCAGTCATGAGCTGTGTAGTCTTGGGCAAGTTACTCAACCAATCTGTGTCTCAATTTCCATGTCTAAAATGGGGATACCTGCCTTATAAGGTTGTTGTGAGAACTAAATGAGTTAATTCACACAAGGTTCTTGGAAGAGTGCTTGGCAACACAGGAAGTGGTCAATAAATGCTAGCTGTTATTATGGTTATTATCATTATTCCCCTCTGTCTCATTTACATCACTTGCCTGTCTTCCGGACGTGTTTTAGATTGCCATCAAACAATCACGATGGCAAGGTTTAGTGAAGCACATTGTGCTATGGGAGGGCAGCTATGGGGACTGACTTAGTCTAGAGCTGATGAAATGGTTTTTGAGTGAAGGGATGGCCTGAGTAACCAGGTCCAGGCTGGAGATATGTTCTGCATTGCACAAGGAACCCCATAAACCAGGTTCTAAGACACCCTGTGGAGCTCAGAGCCTGGGCCTTGCTGGGGGCTGGGCAGGAGAGACACAGCCATGCTGATGGGCTGGCTATTTGCTAGAGTGCAAAGGCCTACAACTCACCTTGGCCCTTCCTCTTGTCTTACAGGACAGACTTGGCCAAACTCTTGATATTCTACAAAGACCTGAACCAGAGATCCATCATGGAGAACCCTGCCAACAGTGTGAGTGGCTCCCTTCTGGGACTGTCCCGGGTCTGTGACTTTGCCCATCTGCCTGGCCTTGGGGAGCAGAGTCAGACTGTAGGGGTCCATCCCAAGCTAGTAGGGCCACCAAAGGCCAACCAGGCCTCAGATTAGAATGGGCAGGGTAGGAGGGGACAGATAGCCTGCCTTTGTCTTTCCCAAACCTGTTCAGGGCCAGGGCTAACCAGTGGCTCCCTTGGGCCTCGGGGTCTTTGCATGAAGCCAGCTTGGTGGGGATTCCCCCTTGATCCTGTGGTTGGCCTCCCTTGCAGATCGAGCAGCTTCTGTCCAACATCGGCGGCCAGCTGGGCCTGTGGATGAGCTGCTCTGTCGTCTGCGTCATTGAGATCATCGAGGTCTTCTTCATCGACTCCCTCTCCATCATTGCCCGCCAGCAGTGGCACAGAGCCAAAGGGTGGTGGGCCCGGAGACGGGCCCCCGCATGCCCCGAGGCTCCCCGCACCTGGCAGGGCCAGGTCAACCCCGGCCTCAACATAGACGATGACCTGCCCACTTTCACCTCCGCCTTGAGCCTGCCTCCAGCCCCAGGGGCCCAGGTGCCCGGCACGCCACCCCCCAGATACAACACCCTGCGCTTGGAGAGGGCCTTCTCCAGTCAGCTCACAGACACGCAGGAGGCCGCTGAGTCCTGAGGCAGGGCAGGGAAGAAAGATGGAGCCAAGACGACCAGTTTGAGAACTTAGACTGTCTCCAGCACACAGGGGGTGTCCTCCCCGCACTGGGCTTTTCAGAGACACTGACTACGAGTCTGCTTTGAACAACGTGGGCCTGGGCATGTGCAGGAGACCGTCGGATCCCCCCCCCGGCCACACTCACGCCACCCAGGACGAGCTAGATCCTGCAGGCCAAACCCTTTAGCACACCTGCTATGGAGAGAGATGGGGCCAAGGAGATGGGGCCGGCCTGGACAAAGGCCAGGAGTGAAGCCTGACAGAGTTCTTGGCCAGATCTTGAGAGAGAGAGAGAGCAAGAGACTCCTCCAAAGCCCCAAGTTGGGGGTTTCAGTCACTCCTCCAGCCTGGGCTGGGACCCAAGGATGTGACTTTATGTGTTGAGGTCTGACATTCACTGCCTGGTGCCAAGGATAGGAGGAAGCTCCAGGCCTGGAGCTGGAGCTGTTTGAATAAACCATTCCCAGTCGTTGACACTGGGGCAAGGTCTGCTCTGAGCCCTCAAGAGGGAGCTGGCCCAGGTTCCTTGGAGTGTCAGAGGGGAAGGAGGCCCTGTGGGGGTGCCTAGGGGTGTGACAGGAGGCCCTCACTCTGAGCTGGGGTGGGGAGGGGGACACATTCTAGGCAGCTAAGCAGGTACTCTGGGCCCTGAGCAGAGAAGGGCCAGTTAAAGGACTCTGTTGGCAACTCCTGTTCAGTGGTAACCCAAAGCATGACTTTCTGATAACCCACCTCAGCTGCTTTTTCTCCAAGGCAGACCACCTGCCCCACCATGGCCTGCCCCTCAGCAGTAAGTCAGCCACGCCATCAGCTGCTTCCTGCCATATCCACACCTTCCATGATGATAGGAGCTGACGTGCATTAAGCACACAGTAGGTGCTCACTATCAGCTCAAGAACCAAGTGCTGGCTGCTGCACTCGGCACTTATAAAAATTGGCACAGGGGACTGCAAACTTCAACCCACAAGCCAAATCCTGTTTTGGCCTGTGACCTGAGAGTGATTTTGGTGGTTTATTTTTTTTTAATACTATTAAAAATATCAAAAGAAGGACCATTTGTGACATGAAAATTATATGCAATTCAAGTTTCAGTGTCCATAATAAAAGTTTTATTGGAATATAGTCACGCCTGTTTGTTCACTTATTGTATATAGTTGTGCTACCACAGAGGGCAGAGGTGAGAAGCTGCTATTGCAGCCCCTCCAGAAGCCTACGGTATTTATTCTCTGGCCTTGTACAGAAAAAGAACTCTACCAGCCCTGGGATTAGCACAGTAAGTAGGTATGGTTATCCCACTGTGTGGATGAAGAAACAGAAAGGTTGACTTACCTGCCCAGGGTGACCCAGCTGGAAAGTTGCAGAGCTGGGTTTCCAACCTAGGCAGTGTGACTCCAGAGCCCATGCACTTTATCACTCCATCATTTTTGCATCTGATCAGTGTCTATGCCTTTTAAGGATGAGGCTCCTGTCAGTCCAGTGGGAAGAGGGGAAGGCTCCACACCCAGCTGTGGGGCAGAAGGAAGTCCCTCATCTGTGAATGTGGACAGGCCTGCATTTCAGGACTGCCTTCTGCTCAAGGATGGCTGCTAGATGGAGGCAGGAGACTCAGTGAAAGAGCAAGGGAGGACTTCCCTGGTGGCGCAGAGGATAAGAACCTCCTGCCAATGTGGGGGACACGGGTTCGATCCCTGGTATGGGAAGATTCCACAAGCTGTGAGCCACTAAGCCCAAACACCACAACTACCGAGACCTAGCTCTAGAGTCCATGTGCCACAACCCCTGAAGCCCGTGTGCCCTAGAGCCTGTGCTTTGCAGTAAGAGAAGGCACCGCAATGAGAAGCCCATGCACAGTAATAGACCCCGCTCACCACAACCAGAAAAAGCCCGCACAAAGCAGCTAAGGCTCAGCTCAGTCCGAAATAAAAAGAGGAAGGGATGGGGAACCTTGCCTGGTCCAACCCCACCTCGGACTTGCCCCATCTCTGCCCCATGCAGTGGTTCCCCTGGTCCTTGCAGGTGGGGCGCTGCTACGAGGCATGGCTGCACTCTGGGAGAAGGTCACCATGACCCCTGGCAGGAGCTGCCTGAGGAGTGGGCTCAGAAGCCAGGGCTGATGCAGGCAAGCATCAGGTTACAGAAGGCGAGAGCCTGGCTCCTGTCCATGCTAGGCTGGGGTGGCTGCAGCCAGCGCCGACAGGGAACTTGCCACGGATGCCTGCCTGGGCATTGCCCAGAGGGAGCTTCCTCCTCCTCCCCTGAAGTAGGAGGGGTGGGGGGCTGGGCCTCAGATTCGTGGAACCTACCTGCCTCAGCATGACATCACAGGCAGAAGCAAGGTTTGCACAGGTTTGCAGCAAGGCTCGGAATTTGCTGAATTTGTCAAAGTGAGTGTTATTCGCTCAGTCATGTCAACTCTTTGAGACCCTGTGGACTGTAGCCCACCAGGCTCCTCTGTCCATGGATTCTCCAGGCAAGAATACTGGAGTGGGTTGCCATTCCCTTCTCCAGGGGATCTTCTCAACCCAGCAATCAAACCTTGGTCTCATGCATGGCATGCAAATTATTTACCATGTGAGCCACCACGGAAGCCGGGCTTTGTCAAAGGGAGGTCAAGAGCATCTGGAGGCATAGCCACCCACATCTCCCCCAGTACACAGGTGACACCCCATGGCTCAGCCACCCCCTTCCTGCCCAGCTCCAAGCCTTAGCCAACCTGTGGTACCAAATGCTGCCCTCTCTCCTCCACTCATCCTCCCAGGTACAGATATCACCACTTTGGCAGAGTCTTCCCATCTCTTCCCTTACTAGCTTCCTCTATAAGAGAGTTTCCAAGTGAGCATGCTAAGTCATTTCAGTCATGTTTGACTTTGCAACACTATGGACTGTAGCCCACCAGGCTCCTCTGTCCATGGGATTCTCCAGGCAAGAACACTGGAGTGGGTTGCCATGCCCTCCTCCAGGGGGTCTTCCCGACCCAGGGATCGAACTGGCATCTCCTGTGTCTCCTGTAACGGCAGATGGGTTCTTCACTATTACCACCATCTGGGAAGCCCCTTAGTTTCCATTCCCTGATACAATTTCTTATCCATTTGTCTGTCTCTCTCATTAAATGATTCCCTGGTGGCTCAGATGGTAAAGAGTCTGCCCGCAATGCAGGAGATCCAGATTCAATCCCTGGGTTGGGAAGATCCCCTGGAGAAGGAAATGGCAAACCACTCCAGTATTCTTGCCCAGAAAATCCCATGGACAGAGGAGCTTGGCAGGCTACAGTTCATGGGGTCTCAAAGAGTCGGACACAACTGAGCAACTTCACTTTCCTTTCCTTTCTCATTAAACAGTGCATGCTTTGAGGGCAGGAATTGTGTCTTATCTCTTTGTCCCCAAACTGGGGTAAGACTGAGAACAGTGATGGTGTTTAGGAAAAGCTTATGGAGCTAATAAAAACAATAACAACCATAACAATGGCTAATATTCATTAAGCATTTATTGTTGGCCAGGGTATCTGCTGAACGCTCCACACACATTGGTTTATGGGATTCTCACAGCGCAGGTGTAAATAAGGAAACAGAGGCCCAGGACACCATCTCTATGGGCCTCATTCTCGTGACCCCAATCCCTAGTAATTGGGGGACCCTGGCCTGTCTCAGAGCTCGTGTGCTTACCCACCATGCACCCTGCCTTTCAAGTCCACCTGCCCCCTGAGGATTTCCCCTCCGATGTCCTCTTCAGGCTTCAGGTCCAGCCTGCTCAGCCGAAGGACCCTCCTGTGCAAGGACAGAGGTGGGGATGGGGGAGCACTGCTTCATTCCCAGACCCCTCGGATGAGCAGCCACATGCCAGGAGTTACCTGTGGAGATAACTGAGCGCGGGTTGGAGCAGAATTTCCAGACGCAGAGTATTGCAGAGAGGAGTGAGTTTATTAAGAAAAAAGAGCAGAGATAAAGCAGGCACTGTGAGTGCAGCGGACCGACAACTCCTGACAGACCAGGGCGAGTCGACAGTTGTCATTGAGTTAATAGCCAAATTTTGTAGCCTCGAGACAAAGAAAATTCCTGCTGGAAGGCTGGCATGAGGTGATTGGTTGGGGTGCCATAGGGTGTTTACTGGAGTGGGCATCTTTGCCAAACTGGGAGTCAGGAAGCTTGTTAGTGATGATCAGGGGGCTTTTGGCAACGGTTACAAAGGGGCTCAATTAGCTTCGGAGGTGACCTTGGTTCTGGGCTCCACTTCTGTGGCCTCGCAGCAAGGCCTCACACCTGTGGCCTGCGGGCAGGACATGACATTACTGACTCCAAGGGACAACGGCTCCACAAGCAGGCCGTGGAAATGTTTGCTCTTGACGCACCCTTCTTCTCAAACTGAGCTCCTGACCTCACTGCTCTTCTGATCCCCCTTCCAGGCCCCTGAGTTCCAGCCTCAAGCTTCTCATGGCCCATAGAATGACTCCCTGATGACAGAGATGCTTCAAACTCAACATGTATCCCCGTAAGCCTGCATCCCAGGGGGGTGGTATCAGATAGACTCCAGCCTCTCCTGGGGTTGAAGACTCGGGCAAGAGGTCTGGGCCAGACAGAGACTTGTGGGGGTCGACAGGGGAGGGGATGAGGTCACCATGGAAGAAAAGCAGGTCAAAGAGGAAGAGAGTCAATGATGGACTCTGAGACCTGTACATCTAAGATGCAGCTGGAGCCCAGACAAAGGGCAGCACAAGGCTCCCCTCCTCACAAATGCCCCAGCTCTCCTGTCTCCCATCCCGACTCCAGGCTCTGCTCAGGGGGTGTCTCCGCAGGGCAAGCCCCTCACAGACGTCCTGCTGACATGTCCCTGGCCACTCCCCATTACCTTAGCTACATTCCTCAAGTCACAGAACCAACCCTACCATGGCCACTTGAGGTGGCCCCCAAACTTAGCTACAATGCCAAACTCTGCTCTCTCTCTCCACTCACCCTCCAGGACCAGGA